GTCGATAGTCAAATTACTATTACATTTAGATAGAACTAAACTCGAATACAACTTTTTGTTCTGTAGCTTATTAATTTGTGAATCATCGAACAAATCAAGAGATATTAGACAGTCAGTTAGCTCTAATTTTATATTCCCTATCAGATTTACACTGAATTCTACTCAAAGTCTTTAGGTATTATGGCCAATATATTTACTATGCACCACTTAAAAGGAATCTAATGTTTGATCTTTTTTAAAGATTTGATTATTTCTCTTTCTTTTTAACATGAACTAAACAGAAGAAAAAAAGAGTGGAGCGAAGGATTTTATTTTCAATTCGTTTTTCATTACTTCTGTATTACTCATTTACTTACGCCTGTTACTCCCAATGAAGCATAGGCCGACAACCAGTATTCTTCAATCCACTCTGTCCTGGGCCTTCGTTTCCAGTTTTATCCAATTTTTGTTCATTCTTCTCATGTCCGTCTCCATTTCTCGGAGTAATGCGTTCCTTGGTCTTCGTCTTCTCCCCATTTGGCCTTGAGGATTCCATGTAAGGACTTGCCTCGTGACGCAGTTGTGTGCTTCCCTTAATGTGTGTCCTATCCACTTCCAGCGCTTCTTCCTGATTTCTTACTTCATTGGAATCTTGTATGTTCTCTATCACAATAGGTTGTTTCTGATAGTGTCTGGCCAACAGATCCGAAGTATTTTGCGTAGACAACTATTGATAAACACTTGTATGTTCTGGATGACTGCTTTCGTAATTCTCCAAGTTTCTGCCCCATACAGTAGAATTGTTTTGACATTTGTATTGAGAATTCTGACTTTGGTGTTGGTTGACAGTTGTTTTGAGTTCCTAATGTTCTACAGTTGTAAATATACTGCAATTGCTTTACCGATCCGCGCTTTCACATCTGCATCAGATTCACCATGCTCATCAATTATTATTTCTATATATAATAAATGCCGAATTGGGAATTTTTTTAATAAACTAAATAGTTCAAAGTATTAGCATCTTTTATATCTGATCTCTGGTTACCATAAATTATTTTTCAAAGAATTTTTATATGAAGTTTATTAAATCCTTGAAGAAGAACTTTCATTAACTTCAAAATTAAAGTTCAATAGTTTACCATCAATGTCATCGGAACGTATTCAAATTTTACGGGTAGAATTCATCATTATATTCACCAAATCGAAATATATGATAAAAGTTTTAATCTTTTTACTTTTGTACTAATTCTCTCCCTCTCTCTAACTCTAAATATTGTTAACTAGTTAGTCAAGTATGTAGAAACCTATTTTAACAACAGAAAAGAAAAAAAACCGAGAGCATATGGTGATCTTATTTTATTTTTTTGGTTCTATACATAACAATAACGCTCAACTGTTCTCATGTTAATTTTATTTTACTAAAATTATTATTTCACTATTTCCTAATTAACATAAATATTTAAAACAATTGATAAGTAGGATACATGAAAAAGAAAAAGAAACATTGTGAATATAAGAAGAGAAAGAAACAAATCAATACAAACATTAACTTGGTAACATTAAACCACAGTATATACATGAGAACATATAAATGAATAAACAAATACTTTATACCCCACCTTAATTGTATTCATTACAATTGTAACATTTAATAAAACCTTTAACATAAGATTAAAATCTTACATAGTTCACCTTAAAACGTTAAATAATATACATTACTATTACAGTGATTAAATAGATTCATATAAAAGAAGGGAAAAAAAATTACAAAGATGTATTATGTCTAAAAAGATTTATTAGAGATTTTTTTTTAAAAATATAATTTATAACAATAAAAGAAACCAGTTGCACGTTTCTTTTTGCCCAAAAAAATAGAAAGAAAGAAGAATATAAAGAGAACAGATTGTACAGAATACAAAACAGTTGATCATTTAAATTTATCTATACTACTTATTATTATTATTATTCTTATCTATGTAGATAGTAAATTACTAAAATGGATAAGGTGGGTGGGGGGGTGGAGGATGAATGGTTGAAACTTTGTAAAGAGAAATATAAATAGATATACATTTCATTTATTTATCAGTTAACCTCGAATTTAAGTTAAATAAATAAATAAATGAGCTTGGATGATGAACCATTTAGATAAAAATATAATGAAAGATTGAATAAATATCTGTGTTTACCTATTTACTTATATGTCTATTAGTTTTTAAAGGAAATATATAACTGAAAAATATAAAAAGGTCAAAAGAAAAACTATTGATATGTATATATGTATATATATATAGGGTCATGTGTCTTGAAGTCGATTTGATGACTGGTATCAAAAGTGAGTCTGTTGCGTTGATTAGTTCATATCGTTTAAAGATCTTCATCATATTAAAAGACTAATTATTGAACGAAGAATATTCTTTTCGATAAATTCTCTTCATGTTCTACAATTATATATCCAAATTAATAATCCGAAAAATGGCCGGGTTAAGGGCAAAGTACATCGTTCAATACATACGAATTTAGGATTGTGATAAAAAAAAAATTGTTAGTGTTAATATGACTCATATAGAAAGTTAACTTGAATCTGCGTATATGTTAAGTGAAATTTAAGACCCATGATCAGAATAAATATGGGTCAAATAGGGTGAAGAGAGAAATAATAGTGCAATTGCAATTCGACCAAATAAGTAAGACGTAATACGGAGGGATGAATGCGAATATATATATATAATTGGATGTATAATTGTAGAACCTGAAGAGAATTTATCGAAAAGAATATTCTTCGTTCAAAGATTAGTTCATAGTTTAATCAAATGAGGAAAGTTCAATAAAGGATTGACTAAGTGAATAAGTAAATTTTTTATTAAGTTAATCCCTAGTTTCAATGATTATTCAATTACATAATAATTTAGTTCAAAGAACACCTGTACTATTGTGAAATCAAACAAAAAATTTGTTGACGTTCTTCTTTTCATCAAAGCTGATATATTTAACCACTGTACATCATTAATCTCATATATAATTGTTCTGAGGAGTATTAAATCTTCCAAAGTACATGAGAACTTTGAGTTATTGGATTGATCAACCTTTTTTTTCATTTTCATGAAGCTCGTGATTGAAGTGATAAACTTATGAAAAAATTTATATTTTGTTTGTATTTTATTTTTACCAACAATAGTAAACAACTTATTACCATAAATACAAGGTTCCATTTATGAAAGTAGTAAAAACAGTTTCATGAATTAAAATAAATCCAAAACTTTTTTTTTTAAAAGATTCTGAAAATAGGAAACCTCTACGATGATTAATTTATTATTATTTCTAGTTGAAATGTATATTTTCTCAAAGCAGATTAATAGGACACAGTTAAGAGAATAGTTTAAAAGAATCTGTTTTTCTAGCCTGTTTCGTCTAAGTAATAAAAAAAAAGAAATAAATAAATAAAGTACCCCCCATATCATTAAGCAACTAAGTAACAAAATAGGGAATGAATTATCCATTAAATATTCTTCTATTAATGAATAATACTTTATGTTTAATTGATATGAATAAGAAAATCTAAGTAATCTAATTTAATATTAGAAAAGGTAATAAAGAATAAAATCTAATTTAATCAACAGTAATAGAAACATTGGTAACATTCTGAAAAAGATCAATTTAATAATCTTATGAATTTTATATCATTCAAATATGTTTTCATTGGTTTGGGATATATTCCCACTCCACCCCCACTCTGTATATCACTTTTCTTTTGATTCATCTAAATTTTTCTATCTCTATCCTTAACTTATTCTGTCTTTACATGACATTCATATGTTTATGATAATCACTAAGTAAATTTATTATCTTACATGGTAAAATTATCTTGTTCCTAATCATGTTATTTAAAGGGAAATATCAATAAAATATAATTGTTTATTGAATAGAATGAGGTTGAAAATATTGATCAGGAAATTAATTTCATTCCATTATTCATCTATTCTCTCTTTTGATAATAGATTAAAAAATCTAGAAATATAGTATACTAACTCAAGCAATGGATATACTTCGTAGTATGATATGCACTACATATACTGGTTGTTTAGAACTGGGTTAGATTTGGTTCTCAAAGTAGTAATAAATACAATAAAATAACAGGTGTTATTTTATCAGATACTAGCCATCCCCTTCACTCATATCTTTCTCCTTATATATCTTCTGGTAGAACGAGACGTAATTACATTAAAATTCATGCACGCAGGCAAAAGTATAAAAGTTCTGTAATACCTAACCTAGCAAATATACTCTGTGGCGAACAAGTTGTTAGAGTTAACCTAGTCAATAACCTGCATTCTTAACATGTCGCTAATTTGAAAAGTTGTACAGTTTTTCGTTTTTTTTAAACCCCTTTTTTGTCTTTGTTTCTTTTTTGCGTAAGAAACTTGTTGACATACCCTGTGCTGAGAATTCTATATTGTACCAAAATATAATGTTGAATAAATCCATTAATAATAATAATAATAATAATAATAATAATAATAATAATAATAATAATAATAAAGATAAGTGGATTTTTATGACAGAAATGTTACTGTACAAAAAACTTCTAGTATTGAAACACTACTTACATTAATGAGTAAGTTTCATTAGTGATGTGCCAATGATCACAATTTTTTAACTGTATGAAGCTTAGTTTGTTTACTCTCTACAATAATTTTAAAAAGTTATATGCATAATAATGTTCATTGCAAAGGTTCAGTTCAAATTATTCAGTCAGTAAATGGTTGAATCTAACAACTTATCTTATATAACAGTTCCATTAAAACAAAACCAGTTTGACAGTGAATACTGTCATAGTAAATTCACATTCAGATTACATAATACTACTTTTCAACATAAACTCAGCAAAATTTTATTAAAATTTAAATGTGAATGATAGTTTGTATTTAGCTTAATTGAACAGTGACTATTATGAGGTTGTAATCAATGTAGTTCTCTAAATTATTTTTAATAGTATTTCTTTGTATATGTTGTTATTTTCACAGGGAATTTTATTATATTCAAATGGAGAAATATGCACGAGTTGCCATATCTGAAGGAATACGTATTGCTGATGAAATTCATGTAACAATTGAATCTGAAATCTACAGAGCTTTAAATTTGCATTATAATCGTAATCAACAATTAGAGGTAAGAGAAACTATTTTTTTTATAAATCGTTTTTAATGTTTGTATTTACTTTGCATTACTGAATAGGCTCTTATATCTAATACTTTAGTAATGTTTGTACGTTTATGTTCTCACAATAGTTCTATACACATGATTAAGCTATATAGTTGTCAGTAAGTTCCAAATCATTTAGCGTTACTAGAATGTATTTCCTGATAATAGTTGGAAAATGAAATGAATTAAAAAAATAAACAGAATTAGATGAATCCTTAACAAATTCATAACCTGAAAAATCAAAGAAACCGAATCAACACTTATCTGTAACATCCAGATAAACATTATAAACAATAAAAAAAACCGCAAGAGGTTACAATTAAAGTTACTGAATTCGATAAGATGCTACATTAACCACTAAAAGTCCTATAAATTATAAGCTTATCAATAAAATTTAGTTAGGAACATTGATTATATTCATAACAACATATTGATGTATTCAGAAAGTTTTTACTTGAGGAAGGACATGAAAATAACAATAATCTAACTGATAGGTTGTAGTAAGTTAATCACATTGTAATACCGATTTATTCAGTATGAATTGTCAAGTTCTGTATATTAGTTTATTTCCTTCTAATCTATTGCTAAACAATATTTTTGTATGAAAGAAAATTTGTTGGATTAAACTCTCTCCTTAAAACTTTATGTCATGACAGGGAGTGATCAATGGCCATACTGAAATCACACATGTCAAGCATAATGTCTACTTCATTGTCAGAGCAGTATTCTTCGATTTGATATAATGGTATATTGTAGTTACTGGAATGGTGTTCTTTTTACATCACTTTGTGACTCACCTTGGCAAGTTATCCTGTGCCAAAATCCTGTTGTTGTACAATAAATCATCAAATTTTTATTCAATTATTGGTGACAAGTTTAGATTATATCGGTGATTGTCATATTATATCACATGTGATCTATAGACTTATACAATAAGTCAAATGTAGCTACTGAAATACACTAAGCTTTGTTGGGACCATAGCATGGTTTAACCTGAGTAAATGTTAGATCCATTATCCAGCCATTTTCAGATGCTTTAAAATAGGATGTTTAAGTTTATCACGTAAATTTTTGAGCACGGATCATTGAACATATGTACACAGATATGAACATTTTGTCAAATAAAATTATTACCAGAGCTCACATCATCAACTAACCTTAACGAGACAACTATCGAAAACCTGGAAGCACAGGAAGTCTATTTAGTCCTAGTATGGGACTCCTCTGAAATGCATAACCTCGATCCCTCAAAAGAGATTGAACCCTGGGCCTTCCATCTCGCATGTGAATGCCCAAACTTTAGATCTTTAAACCAGTGTACAATTTAGACATTTACGTTGTAGGAAGCGACTCAGTAGTTTAAAGGTTAGGCGTTTGAGCTTGAAACAATAGATCTTGGGTTTTATTCCCTTTGACAGATTAGTGATAAGCACTTTTGTAGATTCTTACATTAAAACTAATCAGCCTTTCTATGCTTCCAGGTTTTCAATAATTATTTGGTTTAAATCAGTTCTAAATTTAAATTTCAATAATTTTACAATTGCCACAAATCACCTATATTAATAAAATTATTATTTTATTACATATAGGTACCAGATCATTTTCGTATTGTTGTTGAAGCAACATTACGTGAATTTTTCAATGCACTTTATACTGGTAAAGATTCAGAACAATCATGGAAAAAACCAATTTATAAAGTTATAGCTAGAATGGATCAACCAGTTCCAGAATTTTTCAAAAGTCCTAATTGGATGGATCAATTAGCTGATGGATAAATGAGAAGAAAAATAAGTAATCAATTGATTACTTATTATTATGTTTTAAATTACAAATATATCATGTAGACGAATTCCTACTTGACTAATAAACATGATCTTCATAATTCAAATAACAATTACGTAACCTGAAATCATTATGAGTAATCTATTTCATTATACAATTTAAAATTTAGTAAACAAAACCAAAAAAAGTTACTTGTTCTTTCATTCCCTATAAATTAAACTTGGCAAAACAATTTGATTCTTTTTTTTAAAACAAAACAAACAAACAACCTACATATTTTAATTTATCTTTTATTTTTAAAACAAAAATTGTATATTTAAAATTGATTTTCAAGTGACCAAGTTACTCTTAGTATCTATGGTTAAAACAATCAATAATTTGTACTTGTCAAATTACATTGTACTATTAAGATAATAATAATAATAATAATCTATTAAAGTAATTCTATTTCATTGAATATAATATTTTATATCACTTTGAAAATTTTTCATAGATGTTCTCTTTCTTTTATTCCATGTGTATCATTATTCGTTTTACAAGTGTACAGTTATTATAATTTAAATAATTCAGTAAAATTTATTGATTATAAAATGTTTGTTTTTTTGTAAGCAATGATGGATAGTGGCTAGCAGTGGAATCTAGGAAGCGCGTTTTGTTCTATTTGGAACTTGTCAGCTGGATGTACCTACAAAAAGCTTGTGAATTAAGACAATATTAAGGCATACGTACAATGTGCACATATGCTAATAGCAGACTGATCAATTGCAGTCTTAAACCTCAATGGGAAGATACAAGCCAAACAATACCAAGTGTTTATTTTTGTTTTCCTTTTCGTAGCATCAGAACTGTAACCTACGGTGGGATGTATACTATGATTAAACATGAGATCAGATATCAGTTAGATATCATAGTGTATTTATTCATTTTTTAAGATAATATCAAGAATTTTAACACAACAATGTCTGCGGCGGCCTGCTTGAATATCTGGGCTACCTGTTCCTCCGATCTACATATTTCATCAAGTTATCTGTTTTGTTGTTTGTTCTAGCACATCATTATGTCTATTGTGCACACAATCTATTCGGGCGCGTTTATGAAAAGTGTACAACCTTTCGCTATACGGGATACAAAAAGGTACAACCAACGACATCATGGTGGCCGGCAATATGCATTGAAACGAATGAATATAATTCAAATGTGGATTACCGAACTCCTAACATCTAACCGGTCACCATTCAAAATTTATCGTCACAATCGATCAGGGTATAAGAAAAAGAAACTTGTTGAAATACTTTATGCTGAGAATTCTATGTTGTACCAAAAATATAATGTTGAATAAAGCTAATAATAATAATAATAAATAATAATCTATGTTCAGTGATCAATTCACGTATCGGATTTTATGTTTGAGATCTCTTGATTTACTCAATTTTCTTTTTGTTATATGAATACTTTTGTGAAATACAATATAATTTTTCAAAATGGTATTCGAAACTTAAGAGTAGGTTACCGAACTGCTTACATAATTGTAAAGATTTGCTGAAATTGTGAATTCGTTTCACTGATTGAAATCATGAGTCAGTTGAAGTTAGACCACCATGGAAAACCTGGAAGCACTGGACGGCCGTTTCGTTCTAGTATGGGACTTCTCAGCAGTGCGCACCCACGATCCCGCACCCCGCGATATTCGAACCCAGGACCTATCAGCCTCGCTCCAGGCACTTAACCAATTAGACCACTGAGCCGGCATCCAATGGTGTTAATGTCTAACTTCAACCAATCCACGAAATTCGTTTCCATTAATTTGTAAGAATTGAAATACTGATAAAATCCAGGTATCAGTAGGTGTATATTTCGGCTTATTTTAGAATTTTTGGAAATGATTATACTTGGTCTTCTGAAATCGGTTCAAAAGCCTTTTTATCGCATCATTTAAGTTCAAGCTTTAAACACATGGATTATTTAGATTTAATGAATATTAATAAGAATCACGTAAACTGTTAGAATTAACTGAGTATTTGTTAAGCGAGAAGCAGTTTTGTTATACCTCAAAGCATAATGATAACCGTGTCTAAGGAAAGCTAAATCAATCATTACTGAAAGAAAACATGACAAAAGTGATTAAGTTTTTAAGTTGTCGGACCTCACATTAGCACACTAAGAGAGCAAGCCAATAAGATTAAAAGCAAATAATAGTTAATTTACACTTCCGTACAGATTTGAACATGAGAAGTATGTCTTACCAGAAAAATGAGTTTAAAGAGTAAAAGTTTAAGAATGATATTTAATTCTAGATTGAGGTAAAGATATGTAATGGATGCAACTCGCTACAAGTAAACTGTTGTCACCAAGCATAGATTCCGAGTATTGCAAATAACCCAACTAAAAAATTGACTGATATGTCCTAGATCAGCACTCAATAATGTCATGGACTGATTCCATGTCATGATTTGGCCATATGCAGGTGTTTTTCACTATACTCCTACCATCATAAGCATCACGTATCATGGTAAGCAATGACTGGGTATATGTTATACATGCCCCAGTCTCTCAAATCAATAACAATTTATAGTCCCATCGTAAGATTAGTCGTCTTTGCTTAGTAGCCTCCGTCTGGCCCTAAAATTACCCAATCAACTGTTCCATCAGATATTATTGGTGTTTTGAAGATATCGACGGTTAAATATTAGCAACCTAATATTATCCTCTACTTTCAAATACCACATTTTATAGGCGTACATAAATGCATGAGAATTAGTTAGCGGCGTACTCACACCCAAATAGATAGACAAATATTTTAATTCCGTCACAAGTGATTCAAGATTAAAAAAGCCAAGTGAGCTTTTCTAACTCTGTCTCGGGACCTTATCAGTAGCTAATGAAGTCCACAAGATAGTTGGAATACATAATTAGTAAGATTACCTACCTCCCTGTAATCAAACTAGGCGATGAAATAAACATTTTCAAAAGCACTGTTTAGCAATTATAGGGAGAGAAATATATCCTAGACGTCCTTACATAGGTTCCCGAGATGTTCAAAAAGCTAATATTATGTCTGAAATTTTTTCTAACAGAATAACAACGTCAGCACACCCCAAGTCTATAGTTTAATCTCTTGGTAGAAAAATGATTCATAAAAGTCAGGTCGGAAATTCGTTATGTATAAAAGAGTGTTCGTGACAAAGTTAAAGAAAAATCTAGTGTTCAGACCCGACGAAGACGATTTGCAGTTGTCAATCCTGGAAACATTTCATCACAAGCCCTAACGAGGCAACTAATTTCCGTGTCAAAAACCTCTAAAAGGTTTGCATACTTCGATACATCTCAATCCAGTTCATAGTAAAATAAGTCTTTTCTTGGTTACAGTTGCATTTTAAGTATAAAGAAAAGTTCACAATTAAGTTCATTTTAATTTAGTTGTACATGACGATTGTTGTTCTTAGGAGTTTCAAACCAGAACAAAACAGCCATCCAGTGTTTCCAGGCTCATTAATGCTCTAACATTGATCGGTTACTGATTTCAATAAAATGTATTCGTTCATAAATCATAGTGATTACTGTAGAATAAGACTATGAAAAAAATATGTGTCGTCTCAGGACTGAAGTTAGATCTTCTAAAAGCCTTATTGACGATCAATAATTTATTTTTTGAAAAAAAGTTGATCGTTTGACAAATTTTCATCGGTCACATAGATACTATAAAATTTTCTAAATAGGAAAATTGGAGTTTATGGCTCAAATCCTTATCGTTTACTTCGTTGAAAAACTAAGATAAAATATGAGAAATGATATTAAATACTGTAATTCTGCTATCAGATTTCCATTGTCGACAATTTATAATAAAATGGAATTAACTATTAATTTCATCTGATCCTTATCCCAATTATGAAGAGATATGTTCAGTAAACTATCAGATAATTCAATTTATAATATGAATGAAACGTTCATCTTGTTCACATCAGAGAGGATAATTAATTCTAATAACATCTGAATATACATTATTATGTTACCGTTGCTTCGCTTCTATACAAGCTTTACACAAGAATAAAACAGCAAATCTGATTTACTTAACTATGTCGAATTCTATAAAATTTATTATACTAATATACAATGAAGCATTTTTATTTTATATATGCCTCAAAAATATTTCCGTCGTCTTCCTTAAGATTCTTTCAGTCATAATTAAAATAAAAATGACACTTTTGTAGCGTCGGTTATTATGAGTGCATGAAATATACATATTCAAAATCCAATCTCGTATTTGACTTATTTAATTCCGTTAATGACTAACGTGATCTAAGTCGAGAATTATACATGAGAAATGACGATATGTATATCTCAATAGCAATCAGAAACGATCAAACTGGAGTCAGATCCCGGTCCACTAAACTTTCGTGAGATTATTACTCTCTGAAGATAAGTTTAATGAACTATACGTCGTAAATCAATTTATATTTAATGATTAGTACAGTTCAATTTAACCGATTTGTATTTAGTTAAATGAAATAAACGATTAGATCCCTATTTGTTACACTATATACAGCTCAATGAAATAGCATACTGAAGATAATTATTTGTAGAATCATGAGATGTTAACTACAATTCTCTTTGTGAATAAAATGGTTTACTATCATAATCGGTTTTGAAGCCTGAAGGTTTTATGTATTCATTGTTGTGAAATACCATAACAGAACAAAGAAATATGTTTAATTTCAATAATTGAGTTCATGAGTCAATTGAAGATAAACCACCATAGAAAATCTGGAATCACTGGAGGGCGGTTTTGCCTCGTTGTGGGACTCCTCAACAGTGCGCACCCACGATCTCACCTCACGAGATTCAAACACAGGACCTATCAATCTCGCGATCAATTGCTTGATCACTAGACCACTGAACCGGCATCCAACGATGTTAATGCCTAACTTCAACTAATCTACGAAATTGAGCGACACATCCACCATTGTCTTCAGTGAGTTACTATCTCACAACAAACCCAGTTGATCTCCACTGGTCAATGCTTCTCACTAGAACTCCAGGAAATACCTCTTGAAGCCAGTCACTAGTGAGCATATGTTGATCAATATCGAAAGGAGTTTTTGTGGATATTATAGTTCAAATTTTTCAAGGCGGGTTCGTGGATGTTCACTGCTAAGGAGTACCACAATAGGGCGAAACGGATGTCCAGTGCTTCCAGGTTTTCCATGGTAATCTAGCTTTAATTGACTCATGATCTCAACTATTGAAATTACTAAAATCTC